TTCTGCTTGAAGGTGTGATTTGCAGCACTGCAAAGAGATTTCTACCCTCCAAGAGGCCCCTTGGGAAAGCTGGGTTTGCTGTTATTTCTGTGAGTAGCCTTTTGCAAAAGCATGGATTTTCGGGCCTCGTTGCTCTTGACCTGGAAGAGAGGGTGGGGGGAGAAAAGAAGTCATGCAGAACACATGTTCTGCAGTATCAGCAGCAGATGAGGGAGGACTTGATTTTAGCTTCAGGGCAGCAGAGTCAGAACTAAGCTGCCAGCATGTTGCACATTGGCTGAGTGAAAAGCGTTGGATTGGGGCGCTTACCAGAGCCAAGCTGTACTGCAGTCTGACCACGATTCCAGATATTCAATATAATTTTATGATGGTGATTTAATTAGTATATGTATCGGCACTGATGCTTTACGTGCTTCATATACTATCGCTGAGGCCAGACCAAAAGTTGCTTGCATCAGCTGAGAAGTTCTCATGGATTCCAGACGGTTTTAGATGACCGACTCCATACTTCATTAATGCATTCTGAGGTTGGGAACTTTCCAAGAGAGTTCAAATATTTTAATTTTAGTTTATTTCTTTTAGTCTTTTCCACATTTTTAGTCTACATAATTGACGTTATGCAATCAGAATAAAATCTTCTGGAAGTAAGATTCCATGGGGCATTGTAACAGATGGCGAAGTGCCTGGTTTTCTGTGGTAATAATAATACAGAAAAGGGAACGCTTCTGATCAAGTTCCTTTCACCTCCCACCTTAAATTTTGTGATGGTCTCTGCGCTCTTAAGACTGTGCTCTGAATATCTCCCTAATGCTTTGGACATGAATTCAGAATAGAAAAATGTAATAAGTTGCTTGATTGTCCAATCCTTTGGTAAATGTATGACGTCTGTGTCTTTTCTCCTGTTGGTTTGTTTCTGTAGGTTTTTGCCCTACTGACTCAGGAAAAAGAAGATGCGTTGTATCAAAATTGTCTGGTACTTTTTCAGTACCAAGAGCTGAAACAGCACTAGCATTAATACTGTCCTAAATTCGTGGGGAAAAAAAAAATAAAATAAAATTGAGATCATAATACAGAGCAAATAGAGAATACTAAAATATGCCTGTCTAAAGGAAGAGAGTGAAAGCAGAGCAGACTAAAAAGAGGTAATAACACTTCTACCTTGTCTTCTTGGTGCAAGATCTAAAAGCCCTCATTCCCTTCATGCTGCTTTAGAACAATCTGTTATTTGATAATAGTCTCAGCTTTTTATCTTAGAATCAGCCAAGGGCTGCTGTTGTGCACCAAATGCGTAAAAGGAAGATTGATAGCAAGGCTATTGTTTGTCACCATGCGGGAGATGGATATAGCAACCAGCTTTGAAACAATGTTGGGTACTTCTGGTTAAAATAGCGTTTGTGCTGTCTGGGTGGTGGGAATGGCCCAATCTGGTTTAGTTCTGGTCATGCTGCTCATGCTTGGTGAGTTTCCAGGGACTCTTCCCATGCCGTGTGCACCCGCAGGAGGAGGCTCAGCTCAGATGGTTTGCGGAAGATTTGTGGAAGGGCTGGAATGTGCAAGGGAGCACTACTTCTCCCTACTAGGTCTAATGCTCAAGTTTCTTTTCCCCGTTAAAATATTAAGGTAAAATGTTTTATATCTCATCTACACAGACCTGTACCAAAATCCCCTGAATCCATTCAGGGGGGCTTCCACCAACTTGTGCTCTCTGAAAGGGTCCAGAGTGGGACCATCTCTGGCTGAGTGCTGACCTGCAGGTCAAGGAGTTCTGGGCCATGCGCTTGTCTCTGGGCTCTGTACTGTCACTCCCTCTGCCCCTGTCTTTGGGTGACTGGAAGTCCCAAAGCTAATTTCAGTTTTCTTTTACGAAGAAGAAAGGAAAAAGAGGAACAGCACCTAATCCTTTTCTTCATGAAGAAATCTCTGGAGAAAGAACTCATGCACTAGATTTGAAAAAGATTGGCACTGCATTTTCACTGAGATCCAGAGGCATTTCACAGTCACCACTGAGAACTGTCCACAGGAGAAAAAGCATAATCATGATGCTTATCCAAATGATCAAGGAATGTCATACGCTATGTCTGCTCATCACAAACAGATTAGCTTTAATTTCCTAGTCTGGATGACAGCACAGGCTATTCAACATCATTTTTGGGTTGCTAATCCTCAAAGAATCTATTTGTTTCTTCTTCAATGTTATTGCCATGGAAACTGGCTAAATTGCAGGTCCGAATTACATCTTTACTGTTCACTCACTTTCATTTTGATCTGCAGACATTCTTCAGGTGCCAGAAAGAGGCAAAGGACAAATCAGTATTGTTCCTTGAAACATCTAGTTGCTCTCTGCTCTCCAGCCTCCACGATGTGAGTGTAGCCACTTGCATTCTGTGTCTCCAAGGGCAAGAGGCTTGAAACCTGAAGATCTGCTACCTGCAGCCTCATTTTCTGCGATAACATTGCTCAGGCAAGCTTGAGAGGACAACACAGCAGATTGCTCCCTTATCTATTTTTCAAGCCTTTGCAAGTGGTAACACAATGATGCAGAGGGAACGATTACCATTTAGAGCACAAATCTAGGAAATGTTTTGCAGATGCACTAAAACTGTTGAAAACAGGTGAAATTGGGAGTCAAGGAGAATTGCTATTAAAAGTACGTATCAATGTCAAGAATCATGAAGTCTCTATGTCAGAATCCAGATAATGAAATACTTAAGGGAAGAACATGTCTCCACTACATATATGGTCTGCATGTAATCAATGATGGCCCAAACCATAAGTGTTACTGTTCTCATATTTTGGGGATTTGAGTGCTGTCTTGAGTGTGTGAGATCTCAGAATTTAGTTTGCTTAGACATTCAGCTGAGTACGAGGTGAATGTGCCCTCACTTGTAACTTCATCTGGATTCTTAGAGGTCGAATGTAGTGGCTGTACCTATTTAGAGACCTGTTGCAAGCTCATTTTGATCAGATGATAGTGGAGTTCTTTCTGATGGACTAGTTGTTATCCCTTGGGAAATTTTTTAGGTTTGAAAGTGGATGGGGGGGGAGCAAAAAACTGAAATGAGTTATATATGTTTTCTTTTAAGTGTTTGGAAAACCTGGATGTGTCTGTATAAGTAGCCACTAGGCAGCAATAAAATTAGAAACTGGCATTCACATCGCAAGTCCTAATGTATGCTACTGAGCTTGGTGACATGACAAGAGTCATTTTCACACAGATAGCATTTTTAATGGAATATCTATAATGCATTAGTCACTGATGCCTTTTCCTTGCATCAGGCATTCAAATCCTTGTGTCCGCTTTCCTTTCCACTGTACTTGAGCTACAGTTGAGTTACAAGGAAAAAATCTGTTCTTGATTACTGTATTGTTTTGTCTCTGACCCTTTTGCAGTAGTTTTGTTTTGGAGAAGTCTTTCTGTGTCACTGTAAAGTCATGCCAATACACATCACTATGGATCATAAGAAGTTGAGGGGAATAAGTGCACTTATTTTGCATAGGAAAGCACCTTCGCATTACAATACTTCATTCTTTTTATATGTACAGGGCGTTGAGATTGATTCTGTTTCACTCTGACACGACAGAGTGCAGCACATGCCCTTGTCTGTCTCTGCAGAAAGTGAGTTAACATTGGTAATAGAATGGGTGAGTTTACTAAGTACAGGAGGTAGCATAATCATATGACTTTAAGAGATCTATTTCTAATCTAATTCAATAACTTGTTAGTTTACATGAGTGAGTCATTGGCAGAGGTTGCTATTGTTGCAGAAAGGCTTGTGTAAATTGAGCATGGCTGGTTATATGGCTGGTTTTGGCTGACCGTGGTAATATCATGTTCTCTGTATCCTCAAAATTTGTATTCAGAAGAAATGAGGGGAGTTTTTAATTTTGAGGATTATCATTATCCAGCGTGTCTGCATGACTTGCTTGCTTTAGTGAAGGAGTGCTTTCCTTTGCCTTAGCCTCTGCTAGTGAGAACAATGCATAATCTCGTGTTCATACTACAGGAAAAGGTACTCAGGAGTCAAACTTATATTCCTGATTATGTCATGGATTCTGGCAGTTTTCTTGCATATAAGGTGTGGCTTCCCAAGGGACGAAAAATAAAGTAAAATCAAGAGCCAGGGAAGGAGTGGGCACTTCTGAAAATGTTGGCCTCAATATGTCGTCTTGTATTTCTAAATTGGGGCATTATAAGTATTTCACAGGCCTCCAGAAAGGCTCTGTGAGTATTTGCGAAGCGTTTTAGTGATGGTAGTATGACAAGTTGCACTGCAATGCAAGGAATAACGTCTTCACTTCAGACTACACCTCTGGAGCATTCATACATTTGGTGACAGTCCCATATGACAGCAGTCCATTAAGATACTGTCATAGATCTGATTTCCCCAGAGGTATCGTTCACCTCTTCCCCAGAAATTTTATCTGGAGGAAAAGAAGAAGATTTTCTTTATTTGTCCCAGATGTCCCCAGAATATGTCAGAGCTGGTGTCCGCGTGCCATTCGTTGGCATGTGTACCATGTGATGTTCGTACCCAGAACACTGTTTTACAGGATGCCTTATCATCAGTCTCAGGAGTGTGTGAAGGGCTAGACTCTTCAGTGGAGCTCATCGCCAGTGCTCAGTCCACCTTATTATAAAAAAATGATTACAATAAATTGTGCCCGTAGGTTTTACAGATTATTGTGAATACAACCATAGTTAGAGTTAGAAATCTTTCAGAAAAAGAAACAAAAATGTTTCATTAACCAATATCTGAAAGGAAAATAGCTTCTTCCCCTTGTTTACCAAGAATACATAATTTAAATAAGTTGCCTGCCCTGTCACAGTTTGACATACATACCTTGTTTGATATACTGTGGCTGTCCCTTGCACTTGGAGGTTGAATGTACTACATAGAGCATGTAACTAATGAGATGGGGTTTTGTTCATCCTTTCAGTTAATTCTGTGTGTTCTTTTTTTCCCCTCCCCTTTGTGCTGCACGGCTGATTACCACCCTAGGACCTTGCAATGGGACACAGACCCCTCAGTGCTGCAGCTCCAGTCTGACTCTGAACTTGGGTATATGTCAGCTCTTTTTGTTATTCATTTGTCATTTCTTTGCAAGTATTATGTTGAAAATGCTTCCCAGTTGAGCTGGTTTTATGTGATTTTCCTTTGCTTTGTTGACTTAGAAAGACCATAATTTAAGTTTCCATTTAGTTTCATCAATAAGAAGCTTCAGCAAAGCCATCTTTGTGGAAAAAACCCAACTATCTAAAGAAGCACTTGAAAAGATAAGCTATTTCTGTTGCCTGAAACACAATACAAGTAACTATTTCATTACAGATGAAATGTTATTATTGTGGCACTTTACTGTGCATGTACAGTTACATTGGTCTTGTTTGTACCTGTTGATTCAGACTTTTCTCTCTGAATCATTTGCAAAGTACTTTTTCCCCTCCTTCCTGTCTGCCATAGTTACGCTGTTTCCACACGCAGTAACAATTTCCCCTTTTTCTTTAGGAGCTGTGTATGTGCTTATAATTGTGCACTTAAATATGATTATAGTCCAATTGCCATCTTAGTTGAGTTCAGGCCAATCAAGAACTTTTTAAATTGTAATAGAGCTAAAATTAATATTTTCTAGTTTGGGATGGAACTTCTCTACCCCAAACATCTGAAAAAATTACTTAATTTAAATAATTTAGAAATGCTTGCCTGCAGAGATATTTAGGATAAACTGTTCATCTAAAAAGGATAGATGGCAATCACTCAAGTTATTCAGAACTTGAGTCATAGGCAAAGCCAAATCTCTATGTTGAAGAAACTGCCCTACCTATGGACTTAGGGGCTTTCCTGTCTGAGTCTCCATACGAGTGTCTTACGCTTTCACTAGTTAATGTGAAATTCATTCACCATTTTGTAAGAAAAACAACAATTTCCCTTTAACTACTGATTGAGAGTGCTCCCAGCTGCAGTTAGGGTTGTTAGGGCTATTCACCAGGAAATATCAGGAGGAGTGGAAAGTATCCAGAGAGCTTTCTAAACAGGATTTCTCCACATCCAGAACTGCTAAGAATGTTTGTAGTTTCCACCTGAGTGTGACTTCAAATGGATCCAGGTTACACAACTTTACCTGGGCCGTACCAAAAAGGTGGAGTTTTTGGAGCTGTTTTAATGTACAGAAACATTTTAAAAACCTCAGCTGCCCTTTCCCAAAAGTTTGGATTAGGAGGTGAACGCTCCCAGGAGCAAGGTTCCTCAAACAGCTGTGCAAGGCAGGTTCCTTTATTTGACTCTCAAAGATAACCCTGTGTATAGCCAAAAGACTTCAATCTTTTATGAGTGGTCAGTGCAAAGACAGAAAAGCAGCATGCCAAAGAGTAAATCCACAGGTACACCATGTAATGGAAGTCCTGCCCCTTTTGAAAGAAAACTGTCTTCAAAGCCAAAGCAGAGTCAGAGAGAGGACCACGCTTTCCTCTGGTGTCATGAGACTTGATTAAAAAAATACCAATGCAAAAGAAAACCTGCAGTCAGCAATTAAATGATGTGTGTAGCAAAACACTTCCAGCAGGTACATCTTTCTTCTGGCACCTGCAGACAGGTGAAACAATTTTAACACATGGACTTCAGTTACTGTCCTCCTACTGACATCCCATAGGCAGTTTTGAAAGGAATCTTTCAAAGCTTACGTGCTCTCTAAGATGAATATTCAGCAAACTGTAAATGATAAGAATTATGAGCACCTCAGGTGAAAAATGGGGATGGGAAAGCAATAGACAGTTTAGTGCTGCCCTAAAAAGAACTAGAAACTAGAACACTACAGTTTATATTTGGTAGAGCCCAGATACTGCAAGGATGCTCCAGTTGTCCCAAAGTGCTTGGGACCAAGGGCTAGGCCAACTTCCAGTTACACAAGAACCATTACAGGTTGCTTAATAGGGGCAAAAAAGAACCAACAGTCCACGTTCCTTCAGATGAAGGAAGATCTCCCTGTCTTCACCAGTACTTACCAGAATAATGGGTGACAGCAGACATTTGTACAAGCACCAACAATTCCTGAATTAGAAATGTTTTAGGTGAAAAATTCCACACATTCTCTCAGCACAGCACATTGGGACCTAACTCACTTCTTGGTTAGCAGTCTACAAAGAGGTTAACCCAACAAGTGGTTAAATCCATTAGGATCAATGTTCCTCATCCTCAGGCAATTGAGGTGATATGGAGTGACCTCATGTGAAACTGCTGTTAGAATTAGGTGACGTTCCAATTAGGCCCAGATTAGACACATAATTGATTAGAGATTATACTTAACCAAGACCACTGTCAAGAAGCTCTTTCAGTGCAGAAGGCTTAAGAATCTCAGTAAATGGAACCAGTAGCCTGGGGAAGCAGGGGATTGGTTGCATAGGAAGTCTAACTGACCAAGTAGGTGACAGAGATTGCACACCTGGTGCTGAAGGAGGGAAAAGCACATGAGATTTTGCTGGGGTGAGATAATTCTTAAAGCTTGAATTTATACAAACCCTCAGTTAAAGCAGCTACAAAAATGTAACACTACTAAAACTTTTGTTAGCTGAAGTATATCACAAGCTGTAGAAGTTTTTCTGCAGGATTTTCAGACAGTCATAGCTTTTGTTTGTACTGGCAAAGTCACAGATGGTGGTAAGGAAAGAGACTTGTTAATTTTTCCTCTTTGAAAAGAAGAAAGACTCAGAGCTGTAACAACTATTTCTGCTCTAGTGGTTTGTTACATGATACAGCTGATTCATACTGATTACCTGCTGAATCTAATCACAACTCAGCCAATAAGATAGATTAGAAAAATATATAGCTGATGTAGCGTTAACTGGCTGAAGAGTTCAGTAGGTGTCATCCAGTGCTGACAATTTCCTTTTGAGACTCCCATATCCTTTCAGACATCAATCTTAATTGAATACCTAAGCCAGGGTAAATTAATTAGAAAAAAAAAAAAAACCAAAATCTTTGACCTTTGTTCTTCTGACACTCCGGAAAATAGAGAGGATGTGGATAATGTATATGATTTTTCTGCTTTTCCAAATTGCTCTCTCTAATGACATGGCAGTTCAGAAAGATCATGTCCATGAATTTATTTCCCATAAACATTTAAGTGTGCTTGCACTTGTTGATCTACGCAACTGGACTTATTTAGTTGATTTGTTTATTATGTGCATATTCTTTTCTCTGCTGAAAGTTGGCATTTTTTCCAGTAAAACACTTGCAAGTAACCGTTTGTTTATTCTTCCCTCCCTACAGACAGTCAAATAATATTCAGGAAACAAATTGATTTCCTTCCCTCCCCACCATTAAGTGAACTGTGTATGACTAAAAGTGTTCATGAACATGTTCAGCTGTCTCTCTTCTTTTTTGATTACCCACTTAGGGTTAGTCGGCTTCACTGATTTATTTCACATTGCTTATTTAAAGTAAGGGAAGTAGTAGAAAAAGAAAGCTATAGTTGCCCTGTTCCAGCTGTGTCTCAGCTCTCCCCCAACCCTTGCGTTAGAACTCTACTGATCATAAACCTACATTAATTCCACTACTAATGACTCCCGTGGAAGGGAGAATCTCCTTCATTATGGAAATTACCCACCTTGCCAATTAAAGGCTCTATTATGGGTCTCAGGTGAACATCTGACAGCCCTAATCCAGCCTGGTTTACACCCACTGTGCCCTTTTCACTACTGTGTATCTCGGGCTGAGGATTAACTCTTTTGAGCAGGCAGAACATTGCAGTAACAATGGTATGAAAGAGAATTTTGTTGCATATTACGAGGGGCACAAGCAGGTTGTGTCTTTCTCCCATTTACAGTCCCTCTCAGCAGCATGATCTAGAGGTTCAGTAACTGCACTTTATTATGCCAAATGGTTCCCAGGTTATTTTTCTTCACTGCAATTAGGTACTTCTCGTGCACAGTGTATTGTGTTTCATCTTAGCAAACACTGAGGTATTTTTTTTATCCTGTTCATAAAAGCAAACACTCTTGTTCCTGCTGCTGATTTACATTTAACATGACTAACCTTTTGATGTCATGTATTCCATCTTAGACGCAGACTGCACAAACTAGGGGTGTCAAAGATTACCCAGGTTGATTTCTTACCTCGGGAGGTGGTATCATACTCCAAGGAGACACAGACACCTCTTGCCACGCATCAATCTGAAGGTAAGATTATTTTTTTTTCTATTTTCATAGAAAATAAGTATTTGAGTAGGACTTAAAGAATGTAAGAAAAATAACAGTAAATCATAATATAGCTACTTATCACATATTTTCTGCAAGCCAGGTATTGTTTATGTGATTAATGGCTCTTCTGGTGAGAATAATTATAATAATGACTTTAAATTCAGGTGGAACAAAACTACTTCTGCCTTACAATGGACTGTGCTAAGATAACAGTATAATGAGAACATATTTTCAAATAAATCATTATGAATATAATTAAAATAGCACTTTATTCCACTTCTATTGGTTTCTCAAAGAAATTATTCATTCCATGCTTTGTAAAGAGGCAGTGATGGAAAGTTGTGCTCAGATATTTGGTTGGTGTAATTCTTTCCCCCTGCAGTAGGTGAATCTTAGGAGAAGTTACAGTTTAGCTCCATGTGCTGAAAAAGGACGCTTACATACTTTGATGTGGACAGTACCACTTTTTTTCTCTGCTGACAGATATATTCTCTGTACTCATGGAGCTGTTTGTTAGCTGTTTGGCTTTCCTGTTGATAAGTAAAAACATGGACTGGTTAGTAGGGGAGTGCTGATCTGTCTGTTCCTTAGACTGCACACTCACCAGCGTTGTACTGCAGAACATTGATTGCAGGTCAATCGAAACCAGGTAGACTGAATGTAAAACTGTACATTTGCCTGATGTAATTTGCATACTATTACAAAGCAGGTAGAAGAAGAAAAAACAAAGACAGTCTTGGCTGTAATTTTTGCTGTTAGCAATGAAGGATCAAGAAAAGTTCAACAATTGGGTGCTTTCCTGCAGCAGGTAGTGTAGAACTTCACCAGGGTCCACAAAGAAGAAGATTCAAGTAGGTTGCAAAAGGTGTGCGAGTAAATATACCTAAATACAAGTTACTGTCAGGGAAGATACAGTAATAAACATAGCCAGTTTTTTTTCTGCAACTGGGTTACCAGGTCTGCCTTTAATAAACCAGAAATGAAAACCGCTGAGCTAGATACTCAGATTCTGCTTTCCCAGAGCACAAGTTTACCCTAGTCATCTGTTGTCTGAAATAGTGCCTTCGAGCATAGACAACCCTGTTGCTTGGGTGCTGCTTTTTTGAGCAACGTGTCCTGACAGCTTTGCCTTCTCAGAGGGAGAGGCTGCCTCAGAGGCCTCCCTAGTTCAGTCCACCTCATCTCTGCTTGTCTCTCTGAGGGCTGCTGAAGCCTCAGGAAGATGAGGTTTGCCCCAGAGGCCTTGCCTTCCTGGCTTGAGACCAGTAGCTCAACTTTGGGGCATTATAATGGAGTCATTGTTAGATCAGATGGAGAGGATGCCCTTCCTCCCTGACACAAGGCAAGAGCCTATGGATATGGGGAGTTGAGGACATGGCTTTGAAGTGTTTACCTCTCTCACGCCTGCAACTCCAGCACTCATTAGCTGACATGCCTTTCTGGACAGGCCAACCTCTGTTGAGGAAGCAACTTCTTTCAATAAGTTCTTCTTGCTTTTTTCCAAGGAGTTCTTCAACTATTATAAAATCCTTTTTGGGGTAGACAAGAGGGCAATGTCCTTCCTACCCTTCAAGGAAAAGGAAAACAAACCCAACAGTGTGCTGCTGTGGAGCCTGGCAGTCAGGACAGCAAGCACAGAGGGCAACGTGGCTTGTCTTGGTTCTCCCAACACAGAGGAAGCTCTTGTTCCTCACTTGTATGAAAGAAGATAAATGCAAACATAAAAAGTGATGGACTTCAAACTGCCTTAAACTGCCGAGGCCAAACCTGTGATGCGAAAGGTCAAATGGTAGTAAGTGGTGTTGGTGACTGGATTTATTATCTTTCATATTCTCTGTGTAATCACAGTCAAGGAAAAAACACAAACAAAAGTGAAGTTTTAATATTTAAACACAGAGAAAATAACACCCGATCACTTCCTGCGGGTGCATGGGGGAGAGAAAATTTATCTTATATTTCCTTTCCAATCTGTTGCTACAAAATTCTCTGCGCACAACCTGGACATGAATATGGCCCTGCATCAGTGAAGGAGATTCAGGAAAGTTTGGTTATTCCATTGAAATGGTATTTAATTGGAAACTCTCAAGGGGATAAATAAGCTCTGTGATTTTGGTCTCTGAGGTCTGATGGAGTTGACTTCTCAGGCTTTCAATCTCCCCAGCCTTTTTATGAATGCTGAGCCCTTCATACTGTCACTCAAAACATGAACAGCAAACAGAGGGCAGTTCCTTGGGAGAGCTGCCCTCTTGAGTAGTCTCTATGCTGTTCCTATGCATTCATGTGATAAAATATAGCCATAATCATTTCAAGATAAATTGTTCAGCCATTACTATGGTTATGTACTCGATTATCTGAAGTTATCCAAAGCCTTAGATTTTGAGAAAAGGAAAAAAGAAACCCCTTAGTTACTAGATGAGTCTGACCAGCTTTCAGAAGTCACGCTTTCGCTGCCTGCCTTGGACACTGCAAATGTCAAAATGTGGAGTTTTAGGATGAGCTTGTCACATCTGTGCTTCTGGTTTGGAAGACAACTATTGAAGGGTACAGCTACATGGAAAGATCTTGCCTGTACAATTAAGCCACTGAAAGAGGACTTTGAGGCCATTTGAAGTCCTGCAGCTTTTCTGAAATGTCAGTATCGGGTTTTCTGCACATTGCTTCTCTAGAAAGAAAGGAACTCAGAGGTACCTTAGACCTACTGCTGCTCTAGAGCTCAGTGGATGTAGGCCTTTGTGGTAATGGCCATTCCCCACCAATCCTTATAAAACTGGCTTCATTGTGGTAAGTACAGTGTGGTGCCAGAGAGCCAGCTGCTATGAGCACTGAAGTCTCAGCTTGTCAGCTGCTAATTTTAGAAGAAATAATGTGGCATTATTCTTCATTGTATAAAAACAGATTAACTCCTCTTTTCAGAGCAGGTAATTCACTTTATTTCAGAGGAATAATGACATGTCATTTCCCTCGCCCACTCTATTATTTAGGGAGATGTGTATATGCATCATTCAACCCTTTGATCACAAGTACCTAATTCTTTTGCTTTATTTAGGTCACAGTAAGCTTCAGCCTTTTCTTTTCTTCCTTGTAGGATGACTTCAAAAACACCCAGATCTTTGCTCTGGAGCCTGAGAAAAAAAAAAAAGTGCTCTTTACTTTTCCCCTCCTCCTTCTATAATTGGACTTCAATTTAGGTATTCATAGGCATTGAGAGACATTTCACTTGTGCTGCTTTTTCCATCCTGGGGTTGATTGAGACCTAGACTATGCCAAATGTTTTCTGAGAGGTCTGTGGGACACGTTCCCTCACTGTACAGAGACACTCACATTGCCCCAGAACAGCAGCCCCGTGCAGCCTTCGATGGTTGGACCCTCCAAAGCACTGCAGAACTGCTCTTTGTTGAAGGCACACCTAGCAGAAAGCAGCAACAGAAAAGCCATGGCCTGACCTCTGCCCAGGATGAATCCCTCACTGTCTTACAGCAGTGGAAGTAGGTCTGTATGGCTGCCTATAAGCTACCTTTTCAGATAGGAAGACATCCTGCATGTTCAAGCTCTGCTGGGTGCCCACCTCAGCTCCAGCCTACTGTTCTCCTGCCCTCTGATGGGCCAGGAGGTAAAATCTCATTGAGGAAAACGTCACACTGTCCCTGCACTGGGAAAGGAGATACTCCTCTGGTCTGGCTCCACTCAAAACCAAGGGGGCAGCAAGAAGGTAAAGGTCTGTGAGCTCTCTGGCTTTGCTGGGCAGTGTCAGGAATGGCTCTTTTGTGAAGTAGAAACTACTTCTTCGTCAATACAATGAGATGTTCTCACTTTTCTGGCTTGCCAGACTGTCACTGCAAATATGTTAGTCTGAAATGCATTTCTATAAATGTAGATCCTGTATACAGGGGAAGAAGATCTGACTTTCTAGAACAATGGAGGTCCTATGTACTTCACCTGTTTATCATCAACAGATGGTTGTTCATGTGGGGAAAACAAATGTGTTACCGTACTTACCTACTGAGCAGGAGAACCTCATCCTACATCACAAATGCTTGACAAGTTCTGGCAAAGAACACAATTCAGGCCTATCCTCCATTTGTTTATCTGCTGTATTCAAACACTGCGGATATTTTGGCTATTAGGGAAGGAGGAAAAATAAGCTTTCTACTCCATTTGGAAGCAGACTAGAATGAAGCGGCAAAGTGGACGTGAAACTCCAGAGGCTGGGCTGAGTTCTGTATCTCTCCAACACTGTAATTCTCTGAACAATGTTCCTGAAAGTTAACCTTTTTAAAGCACTGAGGAAGGAGGGTGGAATTGTGCTCACAGTCTAAGGCTCATGAGACCAAGACACATGAGTTTAGATATCTGTGTGTGAACCAAAGCTCTCTCTAGGTGTCATTGACTGCATTGACTAGTTTTTCGCTGACTAGCTGGATAGCAGAGCACTTCATGTGGGCATATTAATGTAGGTTTCTCATTATTGAGTAAACTGTGTATGACTAAAAGTGTCATATGCTGACACTATGTGAGGGCTGTGTCCTACTTGGAGTTTTGGTAATCAGGTGAGGTGTTACCTGTGACTAGGACTGACAAGCCTCGATGCTCTGAAACCAGGTCAGGCCTCTGGAAGTTCCATGATAAATCCGTAGATAAAGTTATTTTCACTTTGATTGTTAGGGGCTGAGATTTCCAGGTTGAATCAGTGTGGAGCTCTGGCTCTGTCTATCTGGTAAGATGATGTGCAGCAGACCTCTAGCGCAGCGAATTCTGCATGAGGCCTGCTGTGCCTTCCCGTGCCTGAGTGTAGCTCCACTCTACCTTTGTGAATGCATGCTGCACTTAAGAAAAGCCAGTCCCAGAACTAAGTGAGATCATACTTGAGCTTCCCCATGCCAAATCTGGCTAGAGCTCATGGATCAGAAGCTGGGGGTTAAGTTAAAGAGCTTACTTTGGCTTTTCCCTTCCAGAGAATCTTACAGCTCAGCTCCAGTCTG